CATTTCTTTATTATTTTCCATTCCATTCGACAAAAGACTACGAAGTTTAAAAAGAAACTTACGTCGCGGATCGGTCGTTTCTTTACAAACAATTGAGCGATTGTAAGTTAGATTAGGCGAGGTGTCTCTTAGAATCAAAACGCTTCTTTAAATTTAATTACTGTGTACACGTTGACGTATCACCTGATGCCGTACGTACGTACACGATGTGACGTGTGGAGGGAGAGAAACATGCATTATGCACCTCTCCACTCGTGGTGTATATTTTAATAGGTGGTAGCGTGGGGGAAAAACTCTTGGCTTCGAGGTGGCATTCTTATGCAATTTAAGGTCGTAAACTTAACGTCACTTTTCGAAAGGAAATGCACGGTTTGCTGTACATCAGAATTCTGGAAGCTACGTTATCAATGAAATTCAAAATGGTAGCGCGGGGGAAAAATTCTTGGCTTCGAGGAGGCATTCTTATGCAATTTAAGGTCGTAAAACTTAACGTCACTTTTCGAAAGGAAATGCACGGTTTGCTGTACATTGGAATTCTGGACGCTAAACTTAATATCTTCGGAACTCGAAATGTCAATAAAATGACCTGACTCTCAAGTCTCGCTAGCTTAGCATTCGTGGCAATAGAATGCTAAGAAAGCATCTCGAGTTGCCGATATGTAGATACCAGAAAACAAAGCCTCGAGTGCAAAGGGTTAATATCGTCTCTTCTTCTACACGACGTACATTATTAACCCTCTTAAAATGCTCTTCGAGATCGTTCCTTTTTTTAATTTAATTCCTTTTATTAATTAAATTAAATACCGTTCACCCCGTTCGAACAGACCGACTGTCTCTTCTTCATAATGACGTGCATCGGCAAGGACCTGGACACCGAGCTGCCCGCCCAGTTGCAGCAGTTGCTGGGAAGCTTGAGGGACGCATTCCTCGCCGAGGACACGATACTACCGTCGGTCAGAAAGACTCTCCTGCAGCTGATCGAACTTCACGCCGCTCATTGGCAGCTTCCAGCTCCTGCGGTCGTCTACTACTACCCGGGATCGACCTCGAAATGATTCGCCACCCTTTCGGTTCCTCCGTCCGTTCGTCGGTTCTGTGCGCGTGTCTGGTACGCGTCGATTTAAGTGAACGTAAAGCAAATTCACAGGGATTCTTTGTACTCGAGAATGCGCTGAGCGCGGATCATGCGAATAATAACGAAACGATCGCCGCGAGCAACGGACTGGGCGAAATGAGTTTGCTCGAAGGTGACGGATAGCCCGAGGCGATCGGATCCTTTACATAGAACGTAATTTTAGAATACTTATTTTTTTTTAACCGTTCGACGGACATTCTGGAGCATGGACGTTGGAGGAGCACAGAGAAGGAACGTGGATCTAAAGTTTGTCAAAGCGTATATTTTATTACGATTTATCGAACCGATGCTTGGAATTTCGAGACTGCGTTGCCTTGTGTTCGCAAGTAGGCTCTTCTGGTCGAATTTCTGCTAAAAATGACTGGCCGAAGATACTTAATAGTCCATAGTTTCGCGTGTAATGACCAACCAAATATCATCAATGTCCGAAAGTTTGTTTGCACTCATCCGCGATTGGCTAGCGTTCTTAACATCTCACGGTTTGTTTTTGACCGACCTACTCCTACGATCCGAAATCCCACCATCCGATTCTCGCTTTTTTTTTTTTTAGCGGGTTATTCGCGCGTTTACACGGTGCCTGTAAAAACTTTCCCGCAGACCCGATAAACGTGGCATCGTTTCGTTCGCATGATCTCACGTCCGCTACCGTCGTCGATCGAGCGAGTCCCCGATTCGCGACAAATTGCCTCCGAAATCGCGGCGAGAAACCTTTTGCGAAACCTTTGTTCGACCGTTGCGGTTCGACGATGCGTCAGCTTGTAAAACGCGAGCAAACCCGTCGTTACCGCGAAGAATGGTTATTCCTCGTCATTGTGCGATTGTTCGAAACAGAAAAAATTGATTTACTGGCGATCGATGATGCGAAGAATGGCGCAAGACTCGCGGTCGATCTTGAATCCGCTTTGTCTTCGTTAACATGAGTAATACGTAGCGATGGGACCGATACGATTAGGTTGAGATTACGCTCGAGCAATTAGATATCGAAGTACTTAATAAAATGTAACGAAAGGCATCGAAGTCTCAGGTATTCGATATTAATTTTTTTATACTGACGCTTTCGTAACTGTCCATACCAACGAACGACTATGAATGTTATATCCCGTAAAAAGTGCAAATTTCGATACTTGCACGTTGGAGAGTGTATCGCACGAAACGAAACTCGTACGAGCATGCGACCCATTTCACCTCCTCTTTGTGTCCCCGATACATACTCCGTATATAGAACGCAAAGCACAAGCGGGTTAACGTTACTTTCGAGGAAGCGTTAAATGTGTACTTTCACAGAAACACGAAATAGTTGACGATTTTGTTCCACACCAGATGACAATTTACACAACTGGTACCGATGATACCAATTACGTATCGTTCCAATCGCTGGGTATCGCGCGTTGAAGTATACTCGGTGACGTATACCCGTTAATTCGGGAATCAGTATGCGTTCTCGAATTAGAAATTATTTCGTTAGTAAGTCAATAGGTTAGGAAATCGGGACATTCGGAACCGGTTCGATGTCTTCTTGGCCCCCCGAATATATCGTGTCTCGACGAAGAATATACACGGAGAGTATTCACCTCTCCACGAGGATCGCAGGTTCACGGTTAAAGGCATACATCGACGATTGTACGCGTGCGACGAAATGACGAATTACGAGTGAATTTCTTCTTCTTTCGAGGTCGGAGATCCGTCGCGATTTTACGTTTGAGATACTCTCGATGCTAGGTAAATAATTTCAAAAATATTCATCGTCCGCGAGGTTGTCTTTGCGATGGATCCTTTCGACCCGAGAGAAGAAGAATACGTTCTTGACCCTTTCGACCCTAGTCGCATATATGTCCCAGTATAGAATACAAACAGAAAAAAAGTCTGTTTCGAAAGAGCTAAAAGAACACGCGCAGAATTACGGAGGAAATTACGGAGGATCGAAGAACGCGAGAGGTCGTTGGGAGCCTCGATAGGGTCTACCTCGAATTTTCCACGGCTTTTTCCGCTGACGCTGCAGCGCGAAACTACGAAGTATCGAAATAAAATGAAAAATAAATAAAAGAGAAAAAAAAAATGATGAAATAAAATCGAATCGAATGAGAGCACGAGTGATACTACTAGTACGACTACTTGTGGAACGACGAACGCTGAAAGAGTAAACGACCCTTACGCGGAACGAACCGAATACTTGCGATGATCTGTTTATGTTCCTCTCTTCTTCGTGAATGCAACCGACGAGCAAAGTCGACTTCGCCTCGCTGTACCTTCCGGCGTGGCCTCGGTGCGTTGAACTCGAATACGAGGATAACTCCTCCTTCGAATGTCCTCCGCGCGATATTCGTGTAGCGGATGTGAATACGACTCGAATCGAAAAAATACAGGTGCAAGAATTTTGTTTTAACTCGTTCTTTTCGATCGTTCGCCTGTCACTGTTCACGCAGATTTCGTTTCAGATGGTTCCCGTTGTCGGAATAGACGCGCGCGAGCCGTGGACCGTCGGCAGACGTCGGTGATTCATAATAGAAAAGATGAAGAGGCTCCTGGAAGGGAGCGGCCGCGTAGAAAAACGCGACAGATGCTCTTAATAAGGAATATATGCTCATGCGATCTCAAAATGCAATCGCCTTTGCCGATTCGTGCCAAGGGCGATAAAAATCGCCCGATAGCTGCGCGCTCTCTCCCTCTGTCTCTCTTTCGAGTTGACTCACGATGCATGTCTTCTCGGGAAACGTCGCCACTTCGTCATAGACACGGTCGAATTTCCTCGAACACCGTCCGCGAGTTGCGAACTTTCCGGCCGGACGGCTGTTACTTCGAAAGGCCAGCGTGAGTCAGTTCGCCTTGCGTCGGCCGAGGGTGAAGGTATCAAAAAAAAAAAAAAAAAAAAAAAAAAGAAAAAAAAAAAAGGAACGACACAAAACCCGATGTCCGGTTCCGAGCCATGCCGCGTTTCAACGACCGATCGATCTTTCGCGTCAAGGTCGCACGCTTCTTTTTAGCCTTGCGCAACGAGACTCGATAGTCGGAATTGTTGCGCCGAGTAAATTGATCCTTGAAGGGTTCGTAATTAAATCAGTGAATTGATTCGTAATTCATTCGTAAATAAATTATATTCACCGCGTTCCAAATAACGCATGGAATAGCGCTAGGAAACGAAAGAATCGCGAGAAGCGAGGTGCACAATTTACGATCGTAGCGTTAACGGCTCTACTTACCGTTCCATTTAGGAACACTTCGGAACTTAGAAAACGATTTTATAAATTATTAAATACATTGATCCAGGCTAACGTTACATACTCCGTATCGTGTACTTGCTCGTGCACTAATTAACCAACGGTTAATTAATTCTCGCAAATAGATCGTGGCATTGAAAGTGCCTACAAGCGTCAACGGAAACAGAAATTTTCTGAAAAGAATCGATACGTTTCATTCGTACGCTGCTGCTAACGAGATACTCGCTAAAAAGCCTTTTACGATGATTACATCCAACGTAACGTAGACGGTCTCGAAACCGCCGTTTAGTCCGCAGCCGTAATTACGTTGCGGAATGCCGAATAATCGATCGTACGAATTTCGCCTGCGTTTCGGGAGATTCGTCCCGTCGATGGTCAGACGGGCCCCCAGTGAACGCGGAACGTGGCATTCCTCGGTCGACGGTGCCGCCAGGATGTTCACCAGGCGGTGTCCGTAGGATACGTCCGGGGTCGACCTTGAAACACCAGGTCGGAGAACCGAGAGAGGTTTCGCCTTGGGTAATCGGTGCCGCGGACTCGAAAACTAGGCCTGCGCCTGCGGTGACGTCGCCGCGGTGCGTCGCGATGTACAACCGCGAACGACCGGGGTGGTGGAGGGGGAGGGGCAGGGGGAGGGGGGGACCGAGGGGGGCTGACAAGAGTACAGTGAGGCGGCGGGTGCCGAGGGGGGTCTCGGGCTGGTGTGCGTTCGCGGTAACGAAACAAATAGGCCGGCGACTTTCACCGCGTAGCCGTTCTCGGCTACGACACAACCGTCAAGCGCGCTCGCTCTTGGCCAGCGATGGGACCAATCCAATGGCATACTCATTAGGGTAACCGCGGCTCGGCCCGACCGACTAGCGGCTTCTTATCGGAACGGTACAGGAATTACTGCCAGTGGAACCGATACTTTTAACACGTTCGTCGCCGCGTCGCACGAGAAATGGGTGACAGGACTTTCTATTAAGGAACTAAAAAAATCAATTTCAAAGGTCGGACAATAACGAAAATAAGGCTGGACAGGTTTCGCGAATTCGGCGACGTTAAGAAATGAAAGGGTACGAGAGATGTTAAATGATCTAATCTACAACAGTCTCGAGACAAAATTTTAAGTGTATAGAAATTTTCACGAGTTTTAGGTTGGCTGCCAACGTGTTAAGCGATTTGCAAGCACCCAATACTGATAACCGTAACGTAAATTAATAACAATTATATTAAGTTGTCCCAAAAGTTTCTTCCATTTCATTAACAAGTAATATTTGTGCGCGATATTTTGTGTGTGATGTTGCATTATTAAATTGCGTACGATTCATTTTGCTCCATTACTGTTATACTATATTAACGTCTAAGAAATTAGGTTGTGTATTTATGTAAACACTGTCAGACAAAATAATCGAGCGCGAGTCACGGAAGAAACTTTTGGGACAACCTAATACTCATCTTTAACACGTTGATCGTCGTGTCACCCACATGTGGGTGACAGTGCTTTCCACTGAAGAACCAACGAAATTAATTCCGAATGTCAAGCATTAAAAGGAAATGAATTTAAACCAAATTCATGAATTTTGATGAAATTACAAGAATAAGTACGTCGATAAATGTTTGATTATGCAGTCTCCGATAGTTTAAACAATATTTCGTTTTAGTAGAAACTTTAAAGAATATTTGTCTGGCAGTCAACGTGTTAATCATACCCTCTGTTTCTCCTGGCACAGATTTACCTGTGACTTTCCTTTTCTCAAGTTCATCGTTGTTGCTGTACGAATCCATTTTCGTTTCATTTTCTTCTCTATCGATTCGATAGACAGACCACCGTTGAACTTGCCGACTTGCTTAGTTTTTCGATACGTTACACGAAAAAATCGGCCCAACGGACGACAGCAGCAATTTTACACTAAAATTTTATTTTAATTCGCACTAAATTTGTCCTCCTTCTTTTAATCGCTTGCGCAGTGGACCCGTGCTGGCCCCATAACCTTTTAGAATATAATTTAAGGGCTGGAGTTCGATAAACCACGCTTCTGTTAATTAATTAACAGATCTTTATTATATTGGGTTGTCCGGAAAGTTCATGCCTATTTTTAAGAAAAATTCAAAGGCATATTTAAATTTTGATGCATATTTATATATGAATTATATATGTACCATTTTGTTCCACAACCTTTCCACCTCTTAAGGAATGTACGCATTTTATTTGTTTTCAGCCATTCCGATATACAGGGTGTCCCAAAACTCGGGGAGGAGCCGGAAATGGGGGGTAGCTGAGACGATTCTGAACAACAATTTCCTTTGCAAAAATGTCGGATGGGGCTTCGTTAAGGAGATATTGAGCGAAAACCCCGACCAATCAGAGCGCGCGTAGACCGTTGGAGCGGCCGCGGTAGCGTAGGCTGCGCGCTGGCGGCCGCGCTTGCACGCGAACAAGTGACTCGACGTGCATCGAAGCATCGACCTAGCGCGTAGCCTTCGCTACCGCGGCCGCTCCAACGGTCTACGCGCGCTCTGATTGGTCGGGGTTTTCGCTTAATATCTCCTTAACGAAGCCCCATCCGACATTTTTGCAAAGGAAATTGTTGTTCAGAATCGTCTCAGCTACCCCCCATTTCCGGCTCCTCCCCGAGTTTTGGGACACCCTGTATATTCAGACCTGTATCGTCTACTAAAAATCGGCATGGACTTTTCCAGACAGCCCAATATTTCATACAGCTTGTTTTATTCTGTATCAGAAACCACCTAACAGATGAACACCGCGCCATAAACACCGCGATGCTAGTTATGCACACTAGCGCATAGACGTACCCTATATTCCGATAGGAACCCACGAATGTTCTTCGATCCCAAGCAATACATCTCGCGTTACAGACAGGGGATGAAGATCCAGTTACGAAGGCGACAGACCAGTTTCTTATCAGAAGAGCACAGAAGCTACTGTTCGGTAGAAACGCACAAATGTTCTCTAATTCTAAGGAATAGATCCCGCATTACAAATGGGACGTATCGAAAGCCATTACGATAACGTAACATTCGTGTGCTATTAGAATACGACGTAATGCAACGTTTCACGTGCATTTATGACGTATACAAATGTAAAATATATTCACGTTAAACGTATGCAGTTATGCGGAACGAAATATTATTATTATTATAATTTGTGAAATATACTCTGCATACCTTTTGCGTGCGTGTACAATATTAGAGTGCAGCGTAAATGCATGACATTCAATTTAGAAATGCAATCTGGACTCTAGTATCTCTGAACGACCAAAGGACCGATAGACTTACCGAATTTATCTGTTGAAAAGATCGTAAGGTGAATTTGTAAATATTCATCCAGGTAATAATTGGACCAAGTGGAAGCTTATCAAGGGTGGGACAGCGGAGTGACAGGGGCACGCGTATTTATTAGCGATTAATAAATCTTTGACCATCGCTTATTAATCTCTGGTGGGAATCGTAAACTATCAAAGCTATCGTAAGCTATCGAATTTGATGTAGTCGTTACGTATCAACACGACAGTCGCGTGCCTCGATAAATCCCTAAGGCTAGGCGTGGGATATATCACGTATGCTCTCATGTACGCCCATAGCTTTAACCATCTCGACTAAACTGTCATCCGACCGCAAGTCGAAAGTCGAAGCCTCACCAGTTGGCAATCATTCCTTTCAATGTATCAGTATCAGTATCGGATGAAATAGAGTAGTGCTTGTAGAATTTAAATAAAGCTTTTTCCTTTTTTACTCTCAGTTGGCTTTTATTAACGATGTTCCCTATGTGGTTTCTATTTCGATAAAAAGGAATGCGTTTACATTTTTCAGCCGCAGGACGCTTCTGTGATCGGTCCCCACATTTCTCCGAGTAGAAAAAACGGGAGAAGGCTCTTTCGGCGAACGAAGTAACAGAAATGTTTAGAAGCCTGATTTTCCAAATTAAAAATCTATCGATGTATTATTTGAACAATTTTCACAGCTGACGTTTATTATTTAATTTTTGTTTAGGAGGACGTTATGCAATTGTAAGATGCGTACAGGCAAATATTAAAACAAACCGATAGCAAGTATACAATTCGGAACTTAGTTTATTTAAGGGTTAACCCACTATCGTCTGCATACGTACACTTCGCGTTATCAGTACGTGCTGTGTACGACACAGAGGGTACGAGTACTTACGGGACTGTGTACAGAGTGTTTCAGAATTAGTGTAAGAACCGGAAATGGAGCTGAGACGATTCCGAACCAGGACTTCCTTCGCAAAAAATTCCGAACGGTGCTTCGTTTTTGAACTATTAAAGGAACTCCTGGTCTAGGATCGTCTCAGCTACCCTCCCGTTTCCGGTTCTCACACCAATTCTAGGACACCCTGTATAAATATTGGCTTGTCCGGAAAGTTCATGCCGATTTTTGATAGCTGGTGCGGGTCTGAATATGTCGAAACGACTGAAAACAAATAAAACATATATGTACATCCCTTAAAAGGTGGAAAGGTTGCGGAACAAAATGGTACCTATGCAATTCAATAAATTCATATTACGATTAAAATGTGCCTTTGAAATTTTTTGAAAAATTGCCACGAACTTTCTGGACGACCTAATAGATATCCATCTCGCGTGCATCGCGTGAAAATCCCCGGCAGCTTTTGATTGTTCCGTTCCACCCTGGTGTACACGTCTCGGTCCCATCGCTAGACAGGGCCCAAACAGCTCTGCGTTACGGAGTACCCTCGACTCGCCGTTCTCGTCGTCCTCGACGGAGTGGGGGGAATCCTGGTGTCGGGAGCGGAGACACGAGGCATACCCGGAGCGAACGGGGCCCCCGATTCTTTTTCGCTCAGTCGCACCGTGCACGTGTGTCGCGAGCCGACGACCGAGCAAGCCCCGTCTTCGTCAGCGGTCTCTCGAGTTCTCCTTCTTCCCTTCGCGAAATAAAATAGTGTTAGTTTTCAACCTTGCCAACCGCCTCCGCGACCGTTCATCCGCCGCCCTGCCACGCCGTTCGCGTCCAGTCGACGTCGTTCCGCGCGAACGGACAGGATGCGTTCACGCGGTCCTTGCTGAGCCGGACGTGCACGCGAAGTTCTGTGCTCGGTGTCTTAGCTACCTAAAGGAAAGAAATGCACGGGCTGGTGGTGTTATCGCGACGATGATGGGACGAGGAGGAGACCTGCCGCGGCTGTGCACCTTCGCCTGGTTACTCTGGTGTGTCTTGCCTGCTGGGACCGGTACGCTCTCTGACTCCTTACCTACGCGCTGCGCGACCAGACGCTGCTCGCCTAGGCGCTGCATTGTCCGCGAAAGTGTAACGAGAGTGAAAATATGGGACGACCGCGTTCCGTCGCGCGACTTTGGTTTCCCTTCGGTGTCCTCTTCTCCGAGCTCCTCGACTCCGAAAGTATAACCGAGGATTACCGAGAGAATGCTCCTGGATGTGGGAATCCGGATTCAGATAACAGAACTCGAACTGGTGGCAAACGTTGCTTCCATAGAAACGGTTCGATTCTGGAATGTTTCGACCCTCTTTAGAGATGCGATATCCTCGATGCTGTGTAAGGCATAATAAAAGAGAAAATAGAAAGCGCTCGCAAGAATAGCCCGTGACACGCGCGATGTTTACACAGGATCGAGAACGTATTGTTATCAAAGAGATCGTAATACCGATCGCAACGTTAGGAAAATTGAAAAGAGTCCCAGTTTCGCGAGTATTACGCTCGCTGATTTGTCGCGATAACGAGCTGTAGTTACCAAGGATAGTTCGCTACATGTCATATTCCAGCTATGAAAGGTGCGATTTGATTTCTGAAGAAGACCTTCACCGTAAGCCGAGATGTCGAAATGTATACATCTATGTTCAGAGTTTCGCTCTCACAACCGCCGTAGCATTTTTCATTATTCCTCGGCTGTGTAAATTTAAATACTACGTTTCCCGAGCGCGATAATCCTTACGAGAATTTTTCGATGATCACAAGTTCTTAAAGAGGACGTTTCGCTATAAGTCGGAATTTCGCGTCGCGTAAACCAACGACCGATAGCACGCCGCGTCGTAAAAAGCGAGATTTACGTGCGAAAAGACTGATTTCTCTCGTTAAATATCACTCGGAGGCACTCTTTACAGTCTCTCTTTCACGGACGTCACTCGGCGCCACGGTGTGCCCAATTTTCATAAACTTGTATCGTACATCTTTGCTTCATGTAATCCGACTTAAACACGAATTCAAAATTGTCAAGTAGCCCTTCTTACTCGAGTTCTGTCTCTCCTTATAATTAGTTAACTCGAGGATATTATAATTCGAGGAAAAGAACGTTCAACATTCGGATAAAGATGAACGGTATCTCCTAATGCAATCATGTACGTCGACTTCTATTTTTCTGCGAATCTTCGATTAAAACGAGACCTCCTTCGTGGTCCACCATAAAAAAAGAAAAATCAACGTTCTGGATCCGTGTGGTAAACGTGTGTCGATTCAGGCGAACGCACGTTAAACATGCATTGTTAAACTTTTTCTTATCCGAAAGTTACAGCCAGTCTTTGTTTCGCCGAAATACATACACGAAAATCGAAGAACTTTGTGATTCATTCCGGTCTCATCCTGAAATACTAGAAAAACGTTTCCGGTTGCTCCCACGATTCTTGAAATAACATTTTGAACTCTCCTTTGTCGTCTCTGCTAGAAAATAACCCGTTGACGCGCTCTATTTTTCCATCGTTCAACAACATTATCTTCGTTAACGGACATCCAAGAAAATAAAATTCATCAAGTTCGTCCATCTTTGCTGGACGGCGGAAACGTACTGACCGAAAGAATAGACGCAGGTCGTACGAAAAAATCAAACTTGTTTGAATCCTCGACTAGTTCTGACGCCGAATGTTCGTGAATGTTCTGACGTGTTTATCGTTGCTAGTGTGAACACTCTCATTGCAAAATAGGCGTTTGTTTGTTCAGACGAGTTCGTCAGAAATCGTCCGAACGTATTTCTTTGTCCGAATTCGCATCCATGGTAACCGTAGCCTTAGGACTCATGCGTGTCCAATTGGATACACATGGCGTCCAACGTGTTGAGGCTCGTTGCAGTGGGTTCGAACGCAGCCAGCATGCTCGCAGGTGGATTTTTGTTAGACGTTAACGCCGAGTTGCCGGCGTAGCGCGCGCACTGTTGCTAAATGCATGTTGCAATGCGCACACACGACGAGCCGTGTACGTGTTGGCGCGATAGGTGCAGTGGGCATGGCTCCGAGGATGGTATGTCCCGAGGAGCTCGATGCCCGAACGAGAGAGTCGAGGCTTTAACGAAAAACGAATTTCGAAGGGAACGGGGCCCCGAAGCGAACGAGATCTCTGGACGATTTCTGCTTGAAAGTTTTTCGACGGGGAAAGCAGATCGCAGTTAGGTCTTTCGTTAGCCAGCTTGCTCATCCTTGGAAATCGACGGTTGTACAGCGACGTTGTATCAGAATCAGGGTAATTGTATTTAAGTAGACGTAGGAAAATCAGTTAAGGCTGTACACTTCAGTGATTACGACAATTCGTGCACCTTTTAATCAGATAAACGCTTTCTCTTTTCTTAATGGCACTATCTGGCTCGCACCGATCAAAATTCACGAACACAGAAACGGATTCTAAACTCGCGGTGTATTGAAAGTAAAATTTATAAAAACAGCGGTTCTCTGGAGATATTTATTTAATCGGATAAATAATTACATATGTAAAGTTTAGAGCGACCAGTACCTGTAGTGTTTAAGGAAAACATTCGCGAAGAAACGGCTTTCTTAAGGTTTTTTGGCGTAGAGGACCCGTTAAGACAGGTTTCTTGTTTGTTGGGTGATAAAACGAGTCGTCTTCGCGGTCGTGTATTTTGGAAAAAGAAATTATCGCAAGAAATTCAAATTTGCCAGGGTGATTTATTAATGTTTGAGCTACAGATAAACGTGATTACGATATACAAAGACCGAAAGGTATCGGTTGTAGCGAGCGAGTGACAGACTCCAAAAAAGGTGAAAACGATGATTACGATGGACGAGTATTTATCGAATTGCATAGATCAGCTTAAAGCTATTCAGGAGTTTATGGTATTTTCCACTTTTCAGTAACGGACAGTTTAGTCGCGTGGATTAAATTCAGCGGAACAAATAGCTTCATTAGCGTTTCTAAACCAGCTTCCGTTTCGCGACAAACGAACGCGCGGTTACAAATCAGAAATCGATAGCCGGATCTCTTCGGGTATCTTGGCTACAATCGCCGCTGTACTTACTAATTTATGCGCGTAACGGATCCCAGCAAGAATTATCATTGCTTGCGATATTCCCAAGACCGTGGACCGATCCATCGTTCGGCGAATGATTTATTTAAAAGGGATCGATTGGATAATTATTCAGTTTTCTTTCGAGAAACTATCAGTGCGTCCTTACAGAAGAAGCTAGGACACGGGTTACACTCGGAAGCGTCGATTAAACGCTCTGTAGGACAGAACTTTCTAAGCATTTTTTTTTTACCTTTATTGTAAAAAAAGGACGCGCCCTTTCCTTGGTGGTAACAATGAGTACCAGTGACCTATAAAGGGTAAACATCAACTTTTAACCTTTTCGGTGCTCTGCGCGAGCATACTCGTCGAATCATTTTGTTCTTGTCGTGCTCAAGACGAGTTAACACATCAATACACTGCGGATCTTGATGCATTTATTGGAAATTTGAATGTCCAAGAAACTACAAAATGTAAGCAATATACAAGAATATAAAAAAAGGTTGAAAGTAAAGGTGATATTATAATATCTGCAGAAGAAAATAAAATCCTATTTAGGTTCAATTTTTCTAGGCACGGTCGCGAAGATTTTATTTTGCATAAAGATCCGTAGTCTACTCGTTAACAATACCCGCACGCGATCGAACTCGTCTTGAGCACGACAAGAACAAAATAATTTGACGAGTATGCTCGCGCGGAGCACCGAAAAGGTTAAACGTACAACCCATTGTAATAAACGTTTCAGGCGTTCCAACTCGTAACGTATTCACCGAAAGAAACGATTCGTTGGATACGCGGTTTTCGATTCGTCCGCTGTCCGCTTGATTAAAGATTTCCACCTAATTAGCGGCTGGAAACGGGGACGATCCTTGAACCCTTTCGTCCGTCGTTCACTTTCGATTTTAGAAAAGCGTCTTCGTTCGCCTGGCATACCTCGGCTGGAAATCACGCATTCCTTCAAGCAAAACATCTTGGATTTCATCGGGTACTCATTTTCTTTTCCAGGAGTGCTTCACAACTACGCGGATAAACAGAGGTACGATGGCTGGTACAACAATCTGGCTCATCCGGATTGGGGATCGATCGGCAAGTACTCCAAACAGTATGATTGTGTCATCGTCGCCTCGTCGATACCCACGCCTGCTAACTCTACGGTTTCGTTTCATTCGATTCGGTTCAGCTCGAATATTTTTTATTGCCGTCGCGATGCAGCTAAATTCAACGCCGTAGAGCGACCGAGACACGCGGCGACGAGTGAAAGGCGAAAAATGTAATTTTTAATTCACTCGCGAACGTACAAAAAGGATAACAAACGAAAAAACCGCACAAGCGCGAAAGACGTAATCAGCCCGGTTGGCAGAAGTCTTACGGTTCTTTAAACATGAAAATTGTAAGCTTTCAATCGTACTAACACGGACGAGCGTGCGTGACGTAAGCGACAACATAAATGACAAGTTAAAGTTAATCATACACCGAAAACGTACGCAAGGATACACTGTCGTGGAATTACGCACAATCGGCTTGTTTCATTCTGGTTAAATAGAATAAATTACATACCGTGCTCGTTGGAGGGATTTTACTACAATTTCATGCTACTAATCAACGATCCTGATTTTAGTTATCGCGATATTTATTATTTTACCTGGTGCTTGATGTATACAATAGCATAACGTTTCTGTCAATTCGTGTGCTAATTTCGTGTGCTTTGTACTCTGTACGAAACTCATTAAAAGTAGGTGTTTCAAATTGTATGTCTGAAAACAGTGTCCGAAAATGTAACAATACATAGGATCCGTAATACTAATTCATGTAATTCGTGATCATAATTGTGATACTAGTATGTAAGCAGCTGTTAACGTGATTGAATTTCGGATGAACGTAAAATGAAGAAAATTGATCGACTTGTGGGGATCCTAACACGGTTCGTACCTCCGTAGACAGCAGGCTGATACGAAAGATGCCAGCAGCGTATTCCGATGGAGTTTACATGATGGCTGGCCAGGATAGGCCTTCCCCGAGGAAGCTCAGTCAGCTCTTCATGCAGGGTGATGACGGTTTGCCATCGGTCAAGAACAGAACAGCGTTATTCGCTTTCTTTGGTAAGCATACAACGATCAAACTCCGTACAACTACTCTCAAGACTTCGATGCGCGTTTGTTTCTACACAAACCCCACAGATAACAGTTTCCTTGTTAAAAAGGACCGACAGTTTCCATCGAAAACATTCGATCGCAATTTTCCATGCACGACCGCATCGACGAAGCATCGCTTTCATCTTAACTCCCACTTTATCAATGATTCGTGGCGACGAAATTCGCTTCTCGTCGGACCTTAAGAAACTGTTTGATATTCAGCATATATATATATATAGATGTCGATGATTCGACTCGATCGCATCGCTGGACGTCCACAATGGGTTGCTATTTGCATATACGGGCTTTCCAAGGCAGAGACACACCGTCCTGAAACACGAGCTCATTTCCGCCTTTGCGCGAGCGTAAATTCCCGAGGAAAGATCGCGCGTACCGTGCACCAGGATATCGTTTATAGTTTATTCGTCATTCACGAATATCAGATAATGGAACGGTGGCTGACTGCAGGCGTACTCGAATGGATTGGCTCGCTGACTGGAGGCGTACTCCAATATCCGTATCGCGCGTTGCGCAAAACTTTTAGTGTCCGTGTTAGAAACGAGCTGTCAGAGGCACTGGGCATTTTTCGATCCACTTTTCAACGTGGAATGTTCCGTGTAACGCTCGGTCTCGATTCGCGTCTCTCCAGGTGGCTGGGAGGCCATATTATTGATGAAGATAGTACAGGGGGTGGCAATTCTTTTTTTTTATTCATTTTTGAATTATTCGATTTCGAAGATTTCTCAAAGGTGTTTGCTCCGCTTTCAAAGAAATCGATGTGCGATCATTCTTCTTCTATTCGTTTTCGACGTATTCGATTTCGAAGATTTCTCAAAGGTGTTTGCTCTGCTACCAAAGAAACCAGGAGATCGGGACACCAGTGGGGCAATTTTTCCTGTATTTATTTTTTCCCTACGACTCCTCCGATTTTCAGAATTTCTCCAAGTTCTTTGCTTTTCTTTTAAGGAAATCGTGATAGGATCCTCGATTGTTTTCGCGTTGTTTTTAAGAAAAACTTTCACTCGAGCGCTTATTGTCCTCGACAGGCGCCAAGCTCGAGGGAACGCGTTAACTTTGATTTATGTTCAACAATATAGCCAGTCTCGTGCAAAATTTATGGTCATCGAGCCGCGTGGAAAGCTCCCAGGCGCGAAGCGTCGAGTTGGAGCGTACGACGAGAGAGAGGAAAGCGTGTCCTCGAAAAAGAAAGTAAAAACTGGGACGGTCGCCCAAATTCCATCGGAGCGAGCTCCTTGCACCGAGTCGAGGAAGCGATCGCTGGCAGGAAAAGTGGAACCGGTCGCATCGCGTGCCTCTTTCTCATGGAGGTCCGTTTTCATCAGCTCTCGGATGGGTAATGTTTCAGGGCAACTGGTCACGTCAGAGATAATCATGGCCAGCGAAAGTGGCTGCCCCATAGAGTACCATCGGATCGACGTAGACAAATGCGACCCGGTTTTCGACAAGGAGTGCCAAGGTAACAAGTACATTCCCTTCCGACGAGCCGATCACGACCGTCGAACCGGACGCAGCCCAAATAGCCCGCGTGAACAGGTAATTCCTTGCTTTCCCCGATGGATTTCTTCTGGTAACCACCTGGACTGGCAGGCTTTTCGGGTCAAAACCAGCCAAAAATGAGGACGACTCGCCAGTCTTGGAACGAGCATTAATTTTGGTCTCGTGGTCTGGATCGCACCTTCCGTATCCATGGACTGCTATGACTTCGTTCGGGTTTTCACTCGAAATATGTTCGTTCAAGTCACGCTCTTCCATTGCATACTCTAGCTTCTCTGTTGAATACTGAACACGAAGGAAAGCATGTAAAACTTCTATAAATATACATTAAATTATTCGAGAACAAAGTTTTGTAACAAGGTCAAGTCGATATAAACCTGCCAGTCGCGTAACGTCACCATCCAAATATGATTCGACTACCATCTATCGATAGTATTTCCTCGCGGTAGATCCTGATTAACGCCGGCACATTTGTACGCCGACAATTCTATCTAATAAATCTATCTGAAAAATTCCACGTTATGGAAACCAGACAAAATATCACCGAATGCTAATATCAAATTATAACACGATTCGTTCCTCTGAACTGTTCAGGAATCGAATCCTGTCCACGCGCGTGATTATTGCGAGCGATATATTTCACCCTACCAGTTAAGGATCAGGGTACTAATCGTCGCCTCCTGAGTCACTCGGCTATTTCTGGTGCAATTTTCCTCCCGAACGTGATTAATGAATTTCAATAATCTGACTAACGGTCTAGCCATAATAAATGTAAACAATATTATCAATCTACCAGAAATTAAGAGCGCCATAAAGTGTCTCCAACGTTCCCCTACGAAATGTATCATAATTTTTCCTGCTACATTCGATTCATCGAGCGTTTTAACGAGCACGAGAATTTCTCCCAGTAAGGAACTACGGTAACTCCGAGCGTTACCGTTCTAATTCTAATTGGCTCCGAGGCTCGCGTTAACGTAATCACCGTCAGGCCTCTGTTCTTCCATCTGCTTATTTGTCCCGCGTTATAAATAACCGTTCTTGTTCTATAATTAACCGTGTCGGGGTCCGCTTGGCCAGAAAAGTTGCGATCGATATCTGGGAGATAAGTCGCGAAAAATAGCTCTGAATACGTGAGGTTGCAGATAAACAAAGTAACGAGCTGGATCGACGGTAGCTTCATCTATTCGAGCAGCGAGGCATGGGCGAACACGATGAGATCGTTCAAGAACGGCAGCCTCCTCATGGAACCCACGAGGAAATTCCCCGTGAGAAACACCATGCGCGCTCCTCTCTTCAACCACGCCGTACCCCACGTAATGAGGATGCTCAGCCCCGAACGGCTTTATCGTAAGTTCGGTTTTCAAATCGGAACGTGACGGTTCATTGAAATTCTAATTTGATTCTGATTATTCAGTTCTGGGCGATCCACGAACGAACCAGCATCCGCCCATGTTGGCTCTGGGAATATTGTTTTATCGGTGGCACAACGTCGTCGCATCGCGCATACAGCGTGAACATCCCAATATGACCGACGAGGACGTCTTCCAAAAAGCACGGCGCATCGTTGTGGGAACGCTTCAGGTAAAAATGTCTTAAATTGCACCAAACGACAGCCTTCTCGAACCAGTCGATAGTTTCATCAATTATTTAACACGCGATACTCTTGAAAATTTCTACCGCGTTTGAATGTTGTTTTGCAGACTATTGGAAACTGCGTGATCAATCAATTATTGTGGTATTTGTTTTTGTAACTTCATGAAAATTCGAGAATTTTATTCGAATTTATTTTCTTCGATGCTCGACTCTCGGAATTAATTTCTTTGGTTCCACGGTGAAAAGCACTGTCACGTGTTAATACCTGCGTAGACCTCCGCGAGACCTACTTAGGTATTGGATTGGGGACGCAACAGCAATGAAAAGAATTCGTGTAAACATATGTTCTGTCCGACCTTGTTCTCGAGGTATAACCGTTTTCTTTACACCGACAGTTCATTACGAGCCGGTATAATTGATTTTACTAAACAGTTTGTTCGCGGTGTTCGGTAACTCCTTTCCATACCGGGAGATTAACAAGTCAATTTTATGTCGATATCTTGAGCAATCAATCGCATGAATTGATGGAGTAAGTTCGCCGTTAGATCGTGTGCAATTTATGCATAACGATGCATCGACCCATTTCAGCCAAGTAATCGAACAGTTCTTGAGTTAACCATTCTCTGGTGGATGAACAGTAGATCGACGCTTTCTGAGAGGTAATTGAATATTACTAAAGTAGAAAAGTGAACACGGGGCACATTGTTGTGTGAACATTTTTTATGGATTTTATGTCTTCGACATGTCGTTGATGTGGTTCCACGATATAGGATACACTCTATGCTTCGTCCCAAATGCAATTAGAATGGAACCACGATGGATACATGGGGTACATTTTTGTATGAAGATTTTTTATCGATTTTTATGTCTTCGATACGTCGTTGATGTGGTTCCGCGATATAGGATACACTCTATGCTTCATCCTAAATGCAATTAAAATGGAACCATAACGAATACATCTTTTCTGTGCAGTGCAAACTGACATCTCAGTACTCTTCCACGTAATTTTGTATCATTCACGTGTAACCGTATATCGTCAGAGCAACTCGATACAGTAATTACATTCTACGCGGACAATTAGTATGAAATCACGAAGCGTGATCCTTTGTGGGACCTGTTAACATCGTCTTAATTACATCGTATTGCATTACATGCTATTAATAAGTTTGTTTCCCAATTTTCTTGGGTTTCAGAATATCATTCTGTACGAGTACATTCCCTTGCTACTGGACGAAGATCCACCACCTTACATGGGCTACAAACCGGATCTACATCCAGGGATCAGTCACATATTCCAAAGTGCAGCGTTTCGATTTGGTCACACCCTAATCCCACCCGGTATATACCGCCGCGACGAGAGTTGCGAGTACAGGAGAACCAACACCGATCAACCAGCCATCAGGCTTTGTTCCACGTGGTGGGACTCAAATGTGAGTAAGAATTTTCCTGTGTTCTTTTCGCTTCAGTTACAGTTCATTTTTTCTCTCTCCAATTCTCTATTAATAATTCCCTGTTTCGACTCGTCTAAAAGATAGCGGAGACTGATGAATAATAAGTATCTAATTTACACATTTATCTTCTCCTCGATGCAGATTATCCGATATCGATAGTTTTAAAAACGACCGCGACCAATCGTGGTCGAAAATATTTACGAATAATAAAGATTACGAATTTAGATGGCTTGTTATGATCGCATCCGAAATCGTTGATTTTAATAAGTTCTTCTTCGGTATCTCGTAGGAAGTTTTAACGAACAGCACCATCGAGGAGCTGATCATGGGCCTGACCTCCCAAATAGCCGAGAAAGAGGACAACCTCCTCGGTACCGACATCAGGAACAACCTCTTCGGACCCATGGAGTTCTCTCGCAGAGACTTGGGCGCGTTGAACATCATGCGTGGGAGAGACAACGGACTCCCGGACTACAACACCGCCAGGTCCCACTTCAAGCTGTCCCGCAGGAAAACCTGGAACGAAATCAACCCGGACCTGTTCAACAAGAATCCTTCTCTGCTGCGCACGCTGGTGGAGATTCACTCGAACAATCTGAACAACGTCGACGTCTACGTCGGTGGAATGCTGGAGTCCAGCGCCGGTCCAGGAGAGCTCTTCACCGCGGTGATCAAGGAGCAGTTCCTTCGTTTGAGAGACTCTGATAGATTTTGGTTCGAGAACGAGGAGAGCGGGTGGGTGTAACTAATGAAGAATGAAAATTGCGATGTAACTCCTCGGCGACGATTATAACCAGACTGCGGATCCTCTATGCAAAATAAAATCTTCGCGAACGTGGCTATAAAAATTGAACTTGGATAGGAATTTATGTTAGAAACCAGTAAGCGAAGAGGAGGTGAGAATAACAGGCTGATAATGGGATGCAGTTTTTAAGGTGAAAACACTATAAAGGTTTATTGTAGTTATAAAAGTACAACGTGATATAGCAGTTACACACAAGAGCTTCACAGAACAAGTGAAGACAGATGAAACAAATGACACGTACATTATGCTTGCATTACTGTATGCATCGATACTCTCTCAACACTTTACCTTCAATCTTTTTTTATATTCTTGCATATTGTTTGGATTTTGTAGTTTCTTGCGCGTTCAAATTTCCTGTAAATGCATAATGATCCGCAGTTCGATTATAATTCTGCAATTTTGCATAAACATCGCAAACGTCGAGGAGTCGAATACTGACGCTCTGTCGAAGAAGTAATCTGACGACGCGTTTGTATGTTTCAGGATTTTCACGAGAAACGAAATCGAAGAGATCCGTCGCGTCACTCTGTGGGACGTGATAATAAACGCGACCGGTATATCGTCGGATGCGATACAGAAGAACGTGTTCCTCTGGAACGAGGGAGATCCTTGCCCTCAACCCTATCAACTGAACTCGACTATGTTGGAGCCGTGCGTTCCGCTGCAACGTTACGACTACTTCGAGGTGATTAGTACATACGCGATTTAACACCCTACCGTTCGATTTTACTATTGTTTCGTCGATCGGTGCTCCGTTATGTAAGTTTTTCAGAAGTAAAAGTAATGCGAGCTACAGCCGGTTAATTACAGCCTGTTTGACAACTAATTGGACTTAGTTTACGCTAGTATAACTTATCCTCGTCCATCCATACGCTTCGCGCGCTTTCTCTTCGCTGACCAGTTTTTCTTCGCGCTTCGAGATACACTGCGTATCAAAATTATACGAGCTCTTGGATTTTTTTAGGTATCGTGTACTTTCGACCCGGTGCAAAAATCGACTTGTGACTAAAATAACAGATGATAGTATCGTCGATTTAATTGAAAAATTGTCTTAACCGTTACGAGTCACCGGTACTCGTTACCAGTATGGAAGAGACGACAATTTTGAATTTTTTAAGTTTCTCATACTTTTTTCTTTACAGAAAAAATAAAAAAAAAAGTATGCCCAGAGAGTTCTTAAATAAGCCTTATAAAGGCTTGAGATACTTCCGATATTTAAGTGGTCGGATACTTTTGACACGCAGTGTACCACTTATAACCATACTGGATATTTATATCTATAAATTATATCAAGATCTGCTCTTTTCTGTGGCAACGGTTTCTCGTAGATCCTGTAACTTCGAAAACGATCGCGAACCAGCCACTGAAAATATCGGAACAGACGATGCACCTTAATTAATACCGAGAAATTTTCGTCGCTATCGATTATCGTTTCGCTCGCCAGTACGCTGGCTTCCTGCTTGTCCATATCACGTTCTTGCCGGCGATGTCTGTAAATGGAGAAGATTAAACGATGCGTCCGTGTTCTTTAAGGGAAGCGAGCTGGTGTACATATACGCCTGCGTTTTTCTGGGCTTCGTGCCGATTCTGTGCGCCGGCGCCGGATACGGGCTGGTGAAGCTGCAAAATCGACGGAGAAGGAGATTGAAAATCCTCCAGGAAGCGATACAAAAGAGAAACGACGGGAAGATCTGCGTGGACAAGATGATCGTGCGCGAGTGGCTGCACGCGAATCATCGTCGTCTGGTCAAGGTGAAATTCGGACCGGAAGCGGCGCTGCACGTCGTCGATCGGAAGGGGGAGAAACTTCGCACCTTCGACTTCGGCGATGTCAACATCGTTACCATGGAGGAATCCCAGGTGATTGCCGCAATCTTCTGTTACTTTTACGTTTTATGAAATTCCGGGATCCGCTAAGGAAATCTTGAACGGAACCTTGGCTCGCGCAACACCGTTTCGCAAGGGAAAAGCAACGCGTGAAAATTCGCTCGACCGGTCGACGCGTTAAGGCCACCATTCTTTGGTAACCGAATTCAATGGACCCGTTGAGTACCCGCAAAAACGTGTAATCGTACGCTTTCGTGAACACCTTAAATTAATGCCTCACGCGATGGGATCATATTGCTCGGAATAATTATGAGAACATCTTGATAAGATGGTGGACGATGTAGGAAATTCTGCTTAGCCTCTTCGACTCTGAGTTTGTTATTTAAAAAAAAAGAAAAAAAGATCATTTAGTGAATATTGAAAGGAACCGATATGAACGAATGGTGAGGTCGAAAGTATCGCTCGACGAAATGACTTCATTGTTCGGTAAGTACTGTACCTTGTAAAATAGCGGTCCACACTTTATTCCTCGACAATGTACTCGATTGTCCAGAAGCGTGATTGCGTCGAGTGGCCACTGCAGACGTGTTAAATGTGGTCCACCGATGCAATCGCCACCGTGTACACGAGATCCTGGCTCGTAACAATGACTCGTCTTTTAGGAAAACGAGAACGGGCATCGCAAGGCCTTGGTACTGCTACGGATACCGCGGGATTATGACCTTGTCCTTGAGCTGGATTCGCTGGCCTCGCGTAGAAAGTTCATTGCGAAATTGGAGTCATTTCTGGCGTCCCATAAAAAACACTTCACGCTGGCCCAAGTGGGCAGGGACATTATGCTTGCGAAAGCGGAAACCAAAGAACGCCGCCAGAAGAAACTCGAGCAGGTTCCTATCTACATTGAAACCCATTTTCCTTTTTTTATTTATAATGCCACCTTAATCCATCTCGACTCAGCTATTTTTTCAGCTTTCTATTCGAATTCTGTTCGTTTCTATTTTAGAGATTGATAGTATCAAAACTAGAATTGGCTAAAAATCAAAGATCGTAGTCAGATAAGAACGATGTTCACTTTTTTTTTAAAGAGACATATCAGGGGGATCGAAAATTAATGAAAATTTGTTCGACTTGGAAAAGCTTTTCAACGCAAAAATGAAGGACTTTTTTAAAAAGGGAAGGATTAGAAAACGATGGAAATTATTTTGTTGACTACTATTTAAGATCTCTTTAATGAATTATTGTTGATAAAATTTTGATTAGTCTCCGGTCCTCCTAATATTTCTGCGAGTCTCAACTGTCATTCGGCTAACAGTAACCAGATGTATTCACTGGGACGTCTAGTATGTCGTACTAGAGTCGAAAGAGTTAATCCATTTCAAAGACGATATAAGATCGACCAACGAACATCCGAAGCAACAATTCTTTTTGCGATAGTTCTTCAGGGAAGCCTACGCCTTGACGTTCGGTCTACGACCTGGCGAGAGGCGACGTCGATCCGACGACAGTGCCAGCGGGGAAGTCGTCACCGTTATGAGGACCTCGCTTTCTAAAAGCGAATTCGCAAGTGCTCTCGGTATGCGGGCGGATGCGGTCTTCGTGAAGAAAATGTTCAACATCGTGGACAAGGATAGAGACGGCCGTATTTCCTTCCAGGTACTCGATATCGATTTTCGTTGATAACGAGGAACAAGAACCCGAACTTCAGGCGTTCGCGTGTTTCAGGAATTCTTGGACACCGTGTTGTTATTCTCGCGTGGAAAAACCGAGGACAAGCTGAGGATCATTTTCGACATGTGCGACAAGGACAGCAACGGAGTGATAGACAAGGAGGAGCTGTCCGAAATGCTCAGATCACTGGTGGAAATCGCGAGGACAACTAGTCTCTCGGACGATCACGTCACTGAACTGATAGACGGAATGTTCCAAGTAACAGCTTTTCACAATCCAAAACTATCTATCTACGTCAGCGTTTTTCAACGTGGACGCACGCACGATTCCTAAGACATGCGTTCGATCGCTCGAATAAGACCATCATGACTTTCAATTCTTTTAAATACAGTAGATTCTCCGATGAACTGATCACCACAAAGATTCCCCTTGCCTCTCTGGCCCCTCCCTTGGCACACCGTGAGATGCTAAATATTTGGATATTGTGACAGAGTCGTTTAATTTCTGTCTCCCCGGGACCTCCCAGATCTCCTTTTCTTTCTTTCGTTGCCTCTCTTTCAAAATGGCGGTAGCTCCAGCTAATTTCGGTTCTTCTACACAATAATTCGTCGTTTTCGCTCCCGAGTTCTCAACGAATTCCGGAGAATCAACTGTAAACAGAATATTCGTTGCGTTCGAATCAGCCGTGCGCTTTCTAAAACGTTTGGAAATCGCCGATCTATATTCAAATATCGATCGCGCGCTCACGTTAACCGTTTCTAGGACGCCGGCCTCGAGAGAAAGGATTACCTCACCTACAACGATTTTAAGTTGATGATGAAAGAGTACAAAGGGGATTTCGTAGCGATCGGTCTCGATTGCAAAGGCGCCAAGCAGAATTTCCTGGACACGTCGACGAACGTAGCCCGCATGACGAGTTTCCACATCGATCAGCTTCCCTCGGAGGATTCGAAGAGCTGGGCGCGCAAACAATGGGACGCCGTGTCGACGTTCCTCGAGGAAAACAGACAAAATATATTTTACCTGTTCGTTTTCTACGTCACGACCATAGCTCTATTCGTCGAGAGATTCATATGCGAGTATACCACGGTTTTCTTTATTTCGAGTTGCGTCGGGAAAGGAGAACGACTAATAGTTTTTGCAATTTTAGATTACTCCTTTATGTCCGAGCACACGGATCTGAGGCACATAATGGGAGTTGGAATCGCCATAACCAGGGGATCGGCGGCCGCCTTGTCTTTCTGTTACAGCTTGCTGCTGTTGACCATGTCCCGCAATCTTTTGACCAAGCTGAAGGAGTTCTCCATTCAGCAGTACATTCCGTTGGATTCTCACATTCAGTTTCACAAGATCGCTGCCTGTACCGCGCTCTTTTTTTCCGTTCTGCACACGGTGGGGCACATGGTCAACTTTTATCACGTTTCGACACAACCCCTAGCCCATCTTCGCTGCTTGACCAGCGAGCTCAGTTTTCCGAGCGATGCTCGCCTAACGATATCCTTCTGGCTCTTTAGAACCGTGACAGGTGACCACCGCATTACCTAATCATCGAATATTTACTTATCGTTCGAATGCTTAAATCACTGCTAATTCGTCTAGGTTTAACCGGTATCCTGTTATTCGTCGTGATGACGATAATCTTCGTCTTCGCTCATCCAACAATACGACAAAAGGCTTACAAGTTCTTTTGGTCGACTCACAGTTTGTACGTGGTGTTGTACGCGCTGTGCCTGATTCATGGTTTGGCACGTTTAACGGGCTCGCCGCGATTCTGGATTTTCTTTGTCGGTCCGGCGCTCATTTACTCTCTCGATAAGGTAAATTGAACAGCGCCGTTTTTGTAAATCAATTTATGCCGTTTATTATCGTTCATTTTATTTAGCCGCGGTTTACTTATAAAATTAGATTCGTATGATACACTTACGTAGATTATTACACGGAAGTATACGATCCATTGTCCATCGAGTAACCTTCTTCTTCGTATATTTCCAGGTAGTGAGCCTACGAACCAAGTTCATGGCATTGGACATCATCGAGACGGAACTGTTGCCGTCGGACGTGATAAAGATCAAGTTTTACAGACCGCCGAATTTAAAGTATCTGTCCGGGCAGTGGGTCCGTCTCTCGTGCACCGCCTTCAGATCGAACGAATTCCATTCGTTCACCTTGACCTCGGCGCCGCACGAGAACTTCCTCTCGTGCCATATTAAGGCTCAGGGCCCGTGGACGTGGAAGTTGCGAAACTACTTCGACCCGTGCAATTACAATCCGGATGTCGAGCATCCAAAAATCAGAATAGAAGGTCCATTCGGTGGCGGCAATCAGGACTGGTATAAGTTCGAGGTCGCTGTGATGGTCGGTGGCGGTATCGGCGTCACTCCCTACGCTTCCATGCTGAACGATCTCGTTTTCGGCACCTCCACCAACAGATATTCAGGTGTCGCGTGCAAAAAGGTAACAAATTCATCGATGTTTAGAAAGTTTCCGCGATATACTTCCATCGACGCTCGGTTTATTTCTTCGCAGGTCTATTTTCTGTGGATATGCCCCTCGCACAAGCACTTCGAATGGTTCATCGATGTTCTCAGGGACGTGGAAAGGAAGGACGTCACGGACGTTTTAGAAATTCATATATTTATTACCCAATTCTTTCATAAATTCGATTTACGCACTACTATGCTGGTAAGTCGTCGGATATCTGTCGCGACAATTCGAGGTGTCGATCGCCTAAAGGCAGACTGAACTAAGCCTCTTCGTTGCAGTACATTTGCGAGAACCATTTCCAGAGGCTATCGAAGAAGAGCATATTCACCGGGCTAAAAGCAATAAATCACTTCGGCAGGCCCGATATGACTTCGTTCTTAAAGTTTGTCCAGAAGAAACACAGCTACGTAAGTTGTGTTAAAGAAACGAATAGAAATTATAGTCAATGTCGGTCGACGGCGAGACTTAATTACCCCAACTATTATAACGTTAAGTCGCTATATTAATTCAGTAAATCACCGGCGAATACCGCGACCGAAATGTTTCAACATATCCTGATGCGATTCGAACGTGTTGCAGGTCAGTAAAATAGGAGTATTTAGCTGCGGTCCGCGACCACTGACGAAGAGCGTGATGTCGTCCTGCGACGAGGTGAACAAGGGCCGTCGTCTGCCGTATTTTATTCATCATTTCGAGAACTTTGGCTAGTCCGCTCGATGTTAGCACGAACGAAGAAGAAAACGAACGACGTGTTCCGCCGCGAATCTCGCTGGAACTCTACCGAGTGTATATATATTGATGCGCGTGCGCGCTCGTCCTTTATTTATAACAAGTATTACATTTCTTATTTATGATGAAAAGAAGACGAACGTCTTCTTTCCGAACGATGCGTTCGTGATAAGCAGAACTGACTAAACCGAGCGACGGAATTTTGGAAATCCTTGGGGCTCCGATAGGCACCGTTTCGCAAATCGCGAGACAGGCTCGCGGGAAGACGAAGCTTGAGAAACACCGTCCTTAGGTGTCCACCTTGGTTCTCTATATTTTTAGTTAGTAGAGTTTTAACTTATTCTAGCACATCAAGGATTTATATGTACATTTTTCAGCTTATTAAGAAAATTGAAAGTCGAAACTTTGTGACTGGTGGCTGTCTATTCTCTCCCTTCTCTCCCAGGATTTCTAGGGTGGTAACTAGACGAGTAAGCGGTATAAAGATATGATTTTTATTTCGGAAGACCGAAGAACGTACGCGAACAACAGAAATCAGCCGTTGATGGTTCTTCGCGAGGACGATGGAAAAGGGTACGACCAATTGTTCTTGGTGGTGTCCTCGTGCTGGAACTCCGAAGACTCGTGCGGCGTGTAGCCGCGATTTATCACGCCCTGAGTGTCTTCCTTGGCTTCGTGTCTGCTCTGCAATTTCGACGACAGTTGACTGAAACAACGCAAATCAAAATCTAACCATCCAAATAAAAATACAATATCTCGATGGAGATTGACACGTTTAGTGTTAATTGACACGTTGATTGCCAGACTAATCGTTTACGGACCACTGAAAGCTACGTAATCAAACATTTATTGCGGTATTTATTTTTGTATCGAAATTCAAGAATTTCATTAAAATTCTCGATTTTCTTCGATACCTAACTTTTGGAATAAATTTGTTGAAAAAGCACTGTATATTACGGGTGACGTGGCGATCAACGTGTTAAAGGGCAAACGGAACAATGAATCTTTAAATATTCGATACTCAACGTAGACAGATTGATAAAAAAAAACCTTATTATGCGATCACCGAAAGAGTCCTCGATTTTAGGTAGCCTCCGTCTGATGTTCCTCGTGTCGAAGCTCTCCTCTATGATAACGTGTCGGTCGTAGGGAGTGTCGTAGTCAACCTCGAGTATAGTGGAGAACTGATGAGGGAATATCATATCGATTGCCGTTATCACCGCGCCAGCGAACATGCATCCAATACCTGGAACAGTTTGCAGCTCCTCGATGTTTCATTGTCAACCTCAACATTCGTCATCGCTTCATTACCGTATTTTAGGGACTATCGGGCGCATCATAATTCTTACTTATGGTCACTTTTAAGACTGGCGGGAATCTTAAATCAAATACTGAACGTTTTTATATTAATTTCGAGCATAAGACGCACCCGAATTTTGGAGGCAATTATTCAAAGAAACATTGTTATAGTTCTAGTTCTAGTTGTATGTTATAGTAACGGTGTTATAGTTCGCAAAATACGGCAACATTTCTCGATACGAACCAGACAGTAAGATCAGCCAATAATTCCATCCCAGATCGAAAGCAAGGATGGAGCCATCGATGTGCGCTATTAGAGGCTCGCACGGCAGAAGCGCCCAATATATCAGGTTCGTCAACAGCATGCATATACCGGTGAAAATCATGCCGTACGCTCCGTAACGCGGCACTACTACCAACAGGAGGTTCGTCATAGCCCAAGAGGCGAAGGATGTCCTGGAGAAAGCGGTCAGACACATCAGACTCGAACGATTCGAGAATGACTCGTTAAAAAAAAAACCGTTACCATAGCATGAGGGACGCGTAGTATCCAGCTTGACGATATTTGCTTCCCCAGGAGAAGCCCTCCTCGTGAAGGCTGAAGTACTCCGCTAGAGACACTATAGGAAACGGTGCGCCCTGATTCAGGGCCTCCTTGAAGGCACTGGTCATCTCACCCGTGCTTCTCCACCAAAACCTTTCGTTGTACTCGATGTCATCTACTGGGTGTTCGCTATTAGGCACCACTGCAAGACAGTGTGTAAATAAATTATTCATATATTAATCAATGTTCGAGCTAAATTGCACGGAGCTATTTAACGCAGACACTGTTTAACTCTGCGAGTTCGTTTGCTATTGTTTCCTTTGTTTAACACGTTGGCTGCCTGACGCGTGAAAATTCTTACGAAGTTAACATTTTGTCTCGAGGCTGTTGAAGGTTAGATAATTTAACATTAGTCGTAGAATTTAAATTTGTTCACCCCGCCACAAATCAACCTTTGGAATTAATTTTGTTTATCTTCTTAACGAAAAGTCCCGTCATTTCTGGGTGACACGGCGACCGACGTGTTAATCGTTACAGTAGCAATATTCTAGCATATTCCAGTTCTGGTCGACTAGACGACGGTGAAGAATCATCGGTTTAAGAAACCAGCTAACAGTGGTCGATGACAATCGAGCATGGTATGCGAGAGAGAGAGAGCGATTGAAACGTTTGCTCCGGTGACTCACGTCTGTACGTGATGTTTATGTGCATCAGGCCGATGTAGCCTCCGATTTCAGCGGTGGTCTTCTGCCTGGTGTACGCGCTGTACGTGCTGACGACGGTCGCGGAGCTGGTGTGCCAGGACGAGCCATACTGGGCCACTGCGAACGACAAAGAAGCTGTTATTCTAGGGCGGCGAAAGAGAAAACTCGGTTAATCGCAGGACTAAGTGGACCGTACCTTGAATCGAGGCTCCGACGAAGAGGCTCAGGGTCACGGTGAGAAATGTACTGAGTCTCTGGAAGCGCGTGAGGCAAAGTCGATCAAAGTAAAAGTAGCGTTCGAACATTCGAATCAGAGATGGGCGATTGTACCGTAACTCGTCTATTTTATAATTCGAGTGTTATTAATACCAACTGGTCTAATTAGATACACGGCCGTATTACGACATCTACTTCTTGGCTCGTATCTTATATCATCTTATTGCATGTATCTTTATTATAATTCCTATGTAACTACACACTTCCTGTATTTCTGCTCGTTTCTCTTCGTTGGATATTACTTCGAACTCCATCAAATGCGGTTTCATTACGAGTATAATGAATCTATCGTTGACATAACATTCTACCCATCTCTGGTACGAAGAAAGGTCGAATTGTAACTCGCCTCCTTTCGCACGCCAGGGAATATCACGAGAAACGCCGTGAAGATTGTGCCGAAGATAACGAAAACGATCACCAAAGGAACGTCGCCGGTGACCGGTGTCCTGTTGTTGTAGCTGTACAACGTCGGGCCCCCGTCGATGCGGAACGCGTCGAACCATCCCTTCATCCTCTCGATTCGATTTTGGAACTCGCGACCCTGAGAGAACCGGCTAGTTCCGGCTCTCCGTCCAAACTGCTTGGCATCAGAGTCACCTACCTGAATATTCGCGGAGAAAGCGAGATAAGTTCAACAACAAGGTCGTTCCAGGCTCCTTTCAATCCTTTGTACTCGACAAGCTTCTCTCTCGCGTCATTTAACGTAATCAACCTAATTCGGATAAACAAGGTCTCTCCGTGGCATCTTGTAACATGTCAAAGTACATTTTCATGTTTTCGAAACACCTTAAATCCCGAAAGGGATCGACGCACTAGTCACCCAAAACATCTCTAATTCAAAGCATTCTCTACTCCGACGATCATCTCTTAAAATCTCATAAAAAGCATCGTTTCCTATTTGCTTCAAGAACTACCCAGAGCAGCCCGAGGAATGCTTCATTCAAACGCCAAGTTGGGTGACCGAAAGTCGCCTCTCAAGTGCAAAGGTTCGCTGTTCGTATCGACAAATCAAAGAAACCGTTTCTTTACGTTTAAAGGTGTACCTCGGAACGCCACGCTCGGCTACCAGCATCCAAGGACGATCGTTGAGAAAGCAAAAGCGCGCTCACCTGGGCCGATAGCGCACAGGTCCGAAGGCAGCGGGAACACTGAGGCCCCGAGTAGGTTAACGGGTCTTCGAAAGTGATCTCCAGCAGTCGAGAGTCGGGTAGAGGGGACGGGTAGCACCCGAGAGGGGAGAACGAAAGAGAAATACAGGTGGGGCTGGTCTTTGAAGAGATAGGAAGGAGAACGGGCGCGAAAAGGTGTCCCCGATCAGCTGAGACCGGAAAACGTTGTTCCACACGGTTTGCGCGTGGTTTTATTTCGGCGGATCGGCGATCGATGATCCCGGATGACGACACCAGACGTGACACGCGAGGCGTGGATCGCGCGGCACGCCCGGTGGCACGCAAGAGACTTCGACGCCGGCACTATGCGCGACGCCAATTGTTTCACAGGAATTCTTTTCGTCGTTCGCGCGACCGAAATAAATCTTAGTTAACCGGAAAATCGACACGCCAAATCGAGATTGGTTTCAATGAGATGCCACCGTGTGCAAATGTCTCTAGGGGAGCTGTTTTAGTCCGGCTGTTTGGAGGATGACGCGGTCCTCGGGGTAAAACTAGACGAGACGACCTACTTCTAAGGAAAAATTTATTGATTTATTTTTCAGAGGGTATTACGATCGAGGAGAATGAAGGAGAGCGGGATATTAGGTTTAGAATGAATAGCAGAGGTAGAGACCGGTAGACGGTGTACCCGGAAGTAGATTCAGACGTTGGTCAGACACGGCTGACCTGTATGCGTTCAGATGAAGACTCGCGGAAAGTGTTACACAGTGGTTTTGAAGGAGGCATACTTACATATGCAATCAGTCGCATAAATATTCGTATCCTCTATGTTTATTGAACGAGTGTCTATGTTAAGTAATAGACGTCATGTTTTTAAATAAATTTTGGAAACGCAAATGACAAGTGTAAAAATATGTATGTTACTCGTTGTGTGTATATGACTTCCCAGAAACATTAACTTCTCTTTACTTGTTATAGAAATAATATTAAATATATTATAGAAAAATTCATTTGGTAGCATCAAAACTATTATTTAATTTAGTCAAACTTCTTCGATAGACATAGAGGGTACGAATATTTATGGGATCGACTGTAGATAGAGGAACTACCTCGTCCATGTAAATATACCATTTACAGGAGAAAAACAAGACAAAAGCTATATTTATTTAGAGCCACAACAGATTGGTTATTTTAGGATTACCTTTTTTAGCCGTCGTTCATTCTTAGAACCTTTTCACCTCACGCGCTCGAGTGTCAACGAAAAGATACCGTCTCTGTAACTTGGCAGTTATCAGAAGCTGCGATCTCGACCAAGAATGAAGTACCAGGTGTGCACGCGAAGACAGAATGAAGTCTGCCCGCTCTGGACGCCTAGTCATCGTGGCTTCATTATCGTCGGAAGGCCAGTAGTACTCGTTCGAGTCCAATTAACGTTCAACGACTCCCTCGAATCCATTCACCGTCTCTATTCGAAGAATAATAAAAATAGGCCAGCTCGAGCACCCAAGACTCGGCAATTACTGAAAGCTATGATCTCAAACAAGAATGTAGCACCGGGTGGCTGCACGCGACGATAGAAACGAAGCCATCGTTCATTAAGAACATTAAACGCGCGTTCATTAACGCTGGAAGGTCAGTAGTACTCGACTCGTTGAGATTTAATTAGAATTCATACGACACAGTGAATCCGTTAACCACAGTTGCTTGAAGAATAATAAAACGAGTTGTCTCGGGTACCGAAACCAGTGTCAACGATTTGACTAGAACAAGTCCATCGGAAGGTTAGTAACACTCGTTGAAGTACGCTCAGCGTTCAACGACTCCCTCGCTCCATTCGCTACTCCTACTAAAAAAGTAACAAGAACAGGGAATACCCAACTCATGTTGGGTACTCGTGAGGGACCCAACTGTGCCCTGCGGAAGAAGCAAGGCCCAGGTGAAGCCCGCGAGGAGAGAAGCCAGCACCAGGTGAGCACCGCGCAGAGACAGAAGGGATGGTGCCAAGGGGACACCGTGTCCGTACCGGTAGCGGAAGCACCGCGTCCACCGCATCCCGTACGACGAGATAGCAAGGTATGCGTCCAGGCTGGTCCATAGTGCCGGCAATAACTCGATCTATTTCAGGCCGTCTAATTCGAGCCGGGTGACGCTAAGCTTTTAACGGCAGCGCTGCTAGCATCATCCACCGTCGCCGCTACCACCACCACCAGACTCCGCCACCACTACCACCACCACCACCACCGACAATAACCACCGGAACGAAGAGTCCGGTGGCAGAGAGGCTGCCTACCCGCGCAGTCTCCTCAACGCGTAGGCCCCCAATACACCGACACTGCTTCTCTGACCCTTCAAGGTAAACGATACTCTACTTCGTCCACGGTAATTCGTCGCGACGTCCCGTGTCCTGGTGCAACCGTCGACGGCCGGTTTCCTACCGTTCCGAATCGCGGAGTGTCAAACCGCGGCTCGACCGGAATTAATACGTTCGGATCGCCACGGCTTTCTCTCCGCGCTCGATGAAAGCGGCAGAGATACATACGTAGTCGAGCGGAGAAAACCGAGATCTGGTTCGCGCGAAATCGTAACGGAGGATCGTATTCGCGGTAGTGCACGCGAGACTAGCGAAGGATCCTAGACGGGAGCCGTGTCCGCTGTGAGATTCGTCATCGCATCGGTATCGGTTAGGGCTCGCTCAGGGCTATCGACTTTCCGTCCCACGAGGAGGTGTCTGGTCGAGGTGGTGAGAAGCATCGTCCTATTGTCGAGGACCGGTCGACCAGGTATACGTGCTCCTACGCGGCAGCCAGGCGACGATTACGTTTCTATTCGTCGCTCGTTATTTGCCGGATCGATCGAAAAACGTAGACTACATTTACGAGCTGCAATTGTAATTATTATGATCTCACGGGCCGCGTCTGATCGTGTATCAATTGTGCCAGGCTGTAAAACTACCCTTGTCTGTGATACTCTTTGGCAGTACGCATAGTTTCGTTTCGAGTTTGATTTAACGAGGTGGATAAGTGACTAACTACATGAAAACAATTTAATAATCGCTATTTAATAATCATAAGCAGGTACGAGACTGTGTAGAAGCGTGTACAGGCCTCGCTTAATGTTACAATTCCGGTACCATCGACGTACGCGAAGCGGAGGTGGAGAATTTATTCGAAAACGACTGTGAATGGAATCCGACACAGAGTCTCAATCACCACCTCCATCTGTTGCCCGAACCGTTGGTATTACTAGCAGATGCCCCTAAAAATAGCAGGGTTTATAAACATAAACATAAACAATGGCAGAGATGACTCATGATCACGAATCCGAGCAACAAATATTATTATTATCCGCGACGTTACCGTGCCTAGTCGACCGATCCTCGACTACGAGACAACTAGCAACGAACACTCGCTACTGCTTCTGTGTATTCGATTTGTTTTTCTCGTAAATTTGGTCGTGGAGCTGTGTAGTAGCGAAATATATAATTTTGCATCCGTGCATCTACAGGGTGTTCAGACTATTGCCAGCCAGCGTTTTTCTGGTAAATGGTGGTGGTTTTATATGATAACAAAAATGAAAGAGGAAAAAGTGATACTGTTTTTTTTATATGCAATGTGTGATTCATTTTGATACGCGCTTTGAAATGATACAAAATACCATTCCATTAAAAAAAAACTGAAGGTGACGTTCGTTTCTCAGAAAATAGTACGAATACGAAAGATTTATATACCTGGTTGTATTGCATATAAAAAAAAACAGTATCACTTTTTCCTCTTTCATTTTTATTGTAATATGTATCATTTACGAGAAAATAGTGGTTAGTGATAGCCTGAACGTCCTGTACATTCGCGTTGATAAAGTTCCAGGAGAGAACGATGGGCGACTTCCAAACCGGAAGCGAAGGGAACGCAACTCGCGTATCGATGATCGATTGTTTTACATCGAGCCCAAAACTCCCCATAAATAAACTTCATGGTTTCCAAGTTGTCCGACACAAAGTAGAGTTAAATCCTACGTGGACACCATCTTTGATCGTATTAGGGTGAACCAAAGTTTCGGCGTTTCTTGCGTTGTTTCAGTTTGTGCAATATCTTGATGCCATTAAAATTACTTTATACGCAAGTGTTGTATGTCATTTTGTAGCTTTTGAAGAGCTCTTTCATATTTAATTATTAACTACGTTAATTTATCGATCGTTCAATTTTTTGTAGTTTTAGTAGAAAGTGACGTAAAAGTACTCGAATCTCAAAATTGTCCACGATTCTACTGAAACCAAAGAAATATCAAACGATCGATAAATTAACGTAGCTAATAATTAAATACGAAAGAGCTTTCCAAAAGCTACAAAGCGATACATAACACTCGCATACAAAGTAATTTTAATGACTTCAAAAAAAGAAAAAAAAAACGCACGAACTTTTGGTTCACCCTGATACAATTCTACACACCTGTCTTCTAAATGAAACCAGCGAACGATGGTTTAATCTCAGGCGCAAGCTACTCCATTTACGGCGATTTACAGCCCCCCGAGGGCGCTTCCTAGTCGATTCGACGGGAATTGGACGACGTCCCTGTTCCGATTCACGTCTCGAAGGGACTCGGTACTCGGCGTTGCCAAAATCGGCCAGATCTAGCGGTGGCAACAAAGTGGCGTTCTGGCAGGATTCCACCCGAGTGGCCAGCCGCCTCGAAAGAGCGCGTATCGCGCCTGCGGGCAAGAAGGTCGCGCGGCAGAGGCGTATTTCGGTAAAAAAGCGTAGCCGACCCGTCGAAGGCCGACGAAGGTGCTTTCACGAGGTGGTATCGAGGAGTCGTCCACCGCGGTGAAACTCGACGGGTACCTATTTATAAAGCGCGTGTGCGTCCTCGTGGCAACGCGCGCGTCCAACATCGCCGCTAACGGTTGCCTATCATGGTCGGACCGCGTGCAAACCAAACTGACCGGAACTTTCCTCCGCTTTCTTACCCTCCTTACGTTTGCGTTGTGCCCGATTCATCGTCCACCGGAGGACGAGTCGGTCCCGATTTATTCCTGCAGTAGTCTACGATAATCTGTGGCGGATGCATCGGCCTCTCGAGCCTGGTCACTCTGGTGCGTTGATCCTAGAACCTTCGCGGTTTTGGTGCGCTGATTTTTTAGGGACGCCAACTGTGGTTGGTAACGTGGTGGTTTCGTCGTTTTGTGATTTCACGAATGCGTCGATTTTTCATATTTGGGTCCCCTCGTAATGAATCGACCGTCTTAGTGACTCCGGACGCTGATTAGAATCAGTTTCTCTCTCAAAGTTTGTTGATTGAGTGAGTTATGCTTCGAATGTTCAGTTGTCATTCCGATGTGTCCAACTATCGATATTAATTATTCTCATGGAGTGATTCTTCGAAGTTGGTTGCTTCCTCGACGCGTTGATGTTCTCCAGTCTGGGAGGTGGTCTAAGGCGACCCCTCAGGTGTACCGATGTTTAACAGTTGGTTCTAACGCCCTGAAAGTTCCATGCGACGTCGTTACCAAAAGTTAATTACTCATCTGACCTCTATCTTACTGATTTTCTACGTTTCCTTCGGCAGAAAACTTTCGATAAATTCCAATCCCCTAAATCCGTATTCCTTCCAGCTGTCCAGCGTAGTTACCCCCGAGTCCAGATTCCTGTGTTTCGATGTTTTCCACGATTTTTTCGCGCGCGAGTCGAACCGAACAGAGGCGTTTGGAAAACGCACGCGAATTTGTTGGTCTTGCGTTCGCCGAAAGAAATGAATGAGGGACGTTGCGCAACACTCGCGGAAACATTTATTATGGTACGCGAGGCAACAACTGGAGTGTTTATTTATCGCGTTCCGGAGGATCCGCAGTCGAGGATGATACGAGAACCGGCGAAGACAGAGAACCGTTTTTATTTAGAGTAGCCTTTTCTTAGCAGCATCTTGACGGGTGCGTGAGAAAAAACGCTTGTTTAATTTACATCGTCTTGCCCACACTTTCTCGAATAATTCAGTTGCGCAGCCTCTGTTGGAACGTTTCGTTTCGAGCAGCCATTATTCCAGATTTTGTTCTGCAGCTCGCCACGCAGACGTGGTCCACTTATCGTCGAAAGTACGCGATAGG